GGGGGGGGGTGGGTTAGATTCCCTCTGATCCCATTCCCCAAACTGATCCCATCCCAAGGATCCTCCCTCCAAACCCAATCCCATCTCTGGACTGATCCCTCCCCCACTGTTGATCCTGCTCCCCATCCCACTCCCAGTTCCAGTTCCACTCCCAATCCCACTCCTAATCCCAGTCCCACTCCTCTTCCTACTCCCAATCCCACTCCCATTCCTACTCTTCCCAATCCTACTGCCATTCCCAATCCCACTCCCACTCCCACTCTTCCCAGTCCCAATTCCACTCCCACTCTTCCCACTCCCAGTTCCACTCTTCCCACTCCCAATCCCACTTCTAATCCCAGTCCCACTCTTTGCACTCCCACTCCTCTCCCACTCCCAATCCCACTCCCATTCCTACTCTTCCTACTCCCACTCTTCCCACTCCCACTCTTCCCACTCCTAATTCCACTTCTAATCCCAATCCCACTCTTCCCACTCCCAATTCCACTCTTCCCACTCCCAGTTCCACTTCTAATCCCACTCCCACTCCTCTCCCACTCCCAATCCCACTCCCATTCCTACTCTTCCTACTCCCACTCTTCCTACTCCCAATCCCACTCTTCCCACTCCCAATTCCACTCTTCCCACTCCCAGTTCCACTTCTAATCCCAATCCCACTCTTCCCACTCCCAATCCCACTCTTCCCACTCCCATTCCCACTCTTCCCACTCCCACTCCCACCTGGAGCATCTCCTCTCCTGGCTGCAGACACTTCTCCTGCAGCTCCTCCACCAGCCTCCCCAGCTCCTGCTCCTGCTCTCCCAGCTGAGCCAGGTTTTCCTGCAGCTTTCCCAGGATCTCCTGCTCTTCCTCCTCCAGCCTCCTCACCAGCTCCTGCTCCTCCTCTTCCAGCAGCTCATGCAGCTCCTGGAATTCCCGGGAAATCCCTTCCCGCTGCTGAGCCACTTTCCTCTGCTGGGACAGGGCAGGGATGAGAGCTGGGATGGACTGGGATGGACTGGGATCTTCCCGATCCCAAAGCTCTGGGACCTGCCTTCAGCTCCCGGGGTTTCCTCTCCTCCCGGGCTCGGCAGCAGGACAGGGATTCCAACTTCTGCTCCAGGAGCTCCAGGCAGCGCCGCAGCTTTTCCTGCCGGGAATCCTGCCCTGAGCCCCTTCCCAAACCCCTCCCCAGATCCCAAATCCCTTCCCCCTTCCCAAACCCCTCCCCAGATCCCAAATCCCTTCCCCCTTCCCAAACCCCTCCCCAGATCCCAAATCCCTTCCCCCTTCCCAAACCCCTCCCCAGATCCCAAATCCCTTCCCCCTTCCCAAACCCCTCCCCAGATCCCAAATCCCTTCCCCCTTCCCAAACCCCTCCCCAGATCCCAAATCCCTTCCCCCTTCCCAAACCCCTCCCCAGATCCCAAATCCCTTCCCCCTTCCCAAACCCCTCCCCAGATCCCAAATCCCTTCCCCCTTCCCAAACCCCTCCCCAGATCCCAAATCCCTTCCCCCTTCCCAAACCCCTCCCCAGATCCCAAATCCCTTCCCCCTTCCCAAACCCCTCCCCAGATCCCAAATCCCTTCCCCCTTCCCAAACCCCTCCCCAGATCCCAAATCCCTTCCCCCTTCCCAAACCCCTCCCCAGATCCCAAATCCCTTCCCCCTTCCCAAACCCCTCCCCAGATCCCAAATCCCTTCCCCCTTCCCAAACCCCTCCCCAGATCCCAAATCCCTTCCCCCTTCCCAAACCCCTCCCCAGATCCCAAATCCCTTCCCCCTTCCCAAACCCCTCCCCAGATCCCAAATCCCTTCCCCCTTCCCAAACCCCTCCCCAGATCCCAAATCCCTTCCCCCTTCCCAAACCCCTCCCCAGATCCCAAATCCCTTCCCCCTTCCCAAACCCCTCCCCAGATCCCAAATCCCTTCCCCCTTCCCAAACCCCTCCCCAGATCCCAAATCCCTTCCCCCTTCCCAAACCCCTCCCCAGATCCCAAATCCCTTCCCCCTTCCCAAACCCCTCCCCAGATCCCAAATCCCTTCCCCCTTCCCAAACCCCTCCCCAAATCCCAAATCCCTCCCCCATTTTTTCATCCCTTCCCCATTTTTTAATCCCTCCCTCCTTCCCAAATCCTTCCTCCATCTCCAGATCCCTCCCCCTTTCCCAAATCCCTGCCCCAGCCCTGGATCCTCCCCCATTCTCAAATCCCTGCCCCATTTTTTAATCCTTCCTCCATTCCCAAATCCTTCCTCCCTCTCCAGATCCCTCCTCCATTCCCTAATCCCTCCCCTGACCCTGGATCCTCCTCCATTCCCAAATCCCTCATCCCTTCTCCTTTCCCCAAATCCCTCCTCCATTCTCAAATCCTTCCTCCATTCCCAAATCCCTCCAAAAAACAGCCTCAGGAAGAGGATTTGGGGCTGAAACCAGAGACTGGGACAAGATGGTGCCCAAATTCCCTCCAGAAATGGTTTTAGGAAGAAGCTTTGGGGCTAAATCCAAGAGTCTGAGGGAAAAAATCCTCATGGATCTTCCTGAGGGAAGAATCTGGGGCTGAAAACAGGGCTGGGCACAAAATGGTGCCTCGATTCCCCCCAAAAATGGCCTCAGGGAGAAGTTTTGGAGCTAAATCCAAGAGTCTGAGGGACAAATTCCTTATGGATAATCTTGAGGGAACAATCTGGGGCCAAAACCCAGAGTCTGGGGGACAAAGTCTTTGTGGATCTGAAGAACCTGGGGCTGAAAACAGGGCTGGGCACAAAATGGTGCCTCGATTCCCCCCAAAAATGGCCTCAGGGAGAAGTTTTGGAGCTAAATCCAAGAGTCTGAGGGACAAATTCCTTATGGATAATCTTGAGGGAACAATCTGGGGCCAAATCCAAGAGTTTTGGAGGCTGAGCCCCTCATGGATCATCCTGAGGGAACAATTTGGGGGTGAAAATGGAGATGAGGACAAAATGGTGCCCAAAATCTCTTCAGAAATGGTTTTGGGAAGAAGCTTTGGAACTAAACCCAGGAGTCTGAGGGACAAACTCCACATGGATCTTCCTGAGGGAAGAATCTGGGGCTGAAAACAGGGCTGGGCACAAAATGGTGCCTCAATTCCCCCCAAAAATGGTCCCAGGGATAAATTTTGGGGCTAAATCCAAGAGTCTGAGGGACAAACTCCTCATGGATCTTCCTGAGGGAAGAATCTGGGGCTGAAAACAGGGCTGGGCACAAAATGGTGCCTCAATTCCCCCCAAAAATGGTCCCAGGGATAAATTTTGGGGCTAAATCCAAGAGTCTGAGGGAAAAAATCCTCATGGATCTTCCTGAGGGAAGAATCTGGGGCTGAAAACAGGGCTGGGCACAAAATGGTGCCTCAATTCCCCCCAAAAATGGTCCCAGGGATCAATTTTGGGGCTAAATCTAAGAGTCTGAGGAACAAACTCCTCATGGATCTTCCTGAGGGAAGAATCTGGGGCCAAATCCAAGAGTTTTGGGGGCTGAGCCCCTCATGGATCATCCTGAGGAAACAATCTGGGGCTGAAAACAGGGATGGGCACAAAATGGTGCCTCAATTCCCCCCAAAAATGGTCTCAGGGAGACGTTTTGGAGCCAAACCCAAGAGTTTTGGGGGTTAAATGGTTCATCCTGTGGGGACAACCTGGGGCGGAAAACGAAGACAAGGACTAAACCCCCTAAAAAAAGACAACCCCAAACCATCCCGGGTCGGGCTGTAGGAGGTGAAATGAAGCCGTGGGGAAGGTTTGAGGGTCTCCCCACACCTTGTACTCCCGGGCGGCCTCCTCGATGGGCACCAGGAGGTGGTCGTGGTGGGAGCCCTGGCAGAGGAGGCAGACGGGGGCCTGGTGTTCGCGGCAGAACCGCGCCAGGGCTGGGCCGTGAGCCGGGCAGGGCTTCTCCTCCCTCCTCCTCCTCCTCTTCCTCCTCTCGGGGAGCCTGGGGCTGAAAACAGGGATGGGCACAAAATGGTGCCTCAATTCCCCCCAAAAATGGTCTCAGGGAGACGTTTTGGAGCCAAACCTAAGAGTTTTGGGGGTTAAATGGTTCATCCTGCGGGGACAACCTGGGGCGGAAAACAAAGACAAGGACTAAACCCCCTAAGAAAAGACAACCCCAAACCACCCCGGGTCGGGCTGTAGGAGGTGAAATGAAGCCGTGGGGAAGGTTTGAGGGTCTCCCCACACCTTGTACTCCCGGGCGGCCTCCTCGATGGGCACCAGGAGGTGGTCGTGGTGGGAGCCCTGGCAGAGGAGGCAGACGGGGGCCTGGTGTTCGCGGCAGAACCGCGCCAGGGCTGGGCCGTGAGCCGGGCAGGGCTTCTCCTCCCTCCTCCTCCTCCTCTTCCTCCTCTCGGGGAGCTGCGCAGTGGATGAGGACGGGGTCCTGCAGGAATTCCAGGCAGATGGAGCAGCTGCCTTCCACCCGCAGCGCTTCCAGGGGGTCCGGGGAGGACATGGCGGAGCGGGGAGAGGGCTGGGAAGGGTGGGAAAGGGGGGGAAAATGGTGGGAAAGGGCGGCTTAGGGGAGGTGAAGTGGTGGGAAGAAGAGGAAAGGGCGGCTGAGGGGGCACAAAATGGTGGTTGGGGCACAAAATGGCGGCCTCAGAGACACAAAATGGCAGCAACACTAGGAAATGGAGGCTGAGGGGGCACAAAATGGCGAGAAGAAGAGGAAATGGAGGCTGAGGGGGCACAAAATGGTGGGGGGGGCACAAAAAGGCGGCGC